TCTGATTTTTTCCATAAATTCTACACTACTTGCCATTCCAATGCCCGCAAAGTTTTTGTCACTTCTTTCATTCCATGTGCTCCCCCTGCTCCCCCAGGCTCCCAGCCTCTGCGTGTCCACTCAGGGCTCAGTCCACAGCGCCCGGCCCCGGAGCCTCGCCCTGCCCCGCAGCGAGCCCGCAGGAGTGCAGGGCTGGTGGCCGCCCGCCTCCACGGGGAAGGCGCTTGAAAGGCAGGTGAACTCGCCAGCTCCCCCTCCCGCGTATTTCTATTCATCCAAAACGGCTGGGTCTGTTCATGTACGTCTATACTCGGATTTTACATGCCCTCCCTCTTTTTCTAATATATTGACCATTAATGTGACCGAAAGGTGAGCCCCAGGACGGGCGCCCGCTCCCACCCAGAGCCCCGCGCCTCCCCGGGACGGAACCGGCCACCAGGGTCTTCCTTTGCCGCCCTGCGCAGGCGACCAGCTTTGTTAGTTGGGGGTTATCCTTCTTGAGGTTTCTTTGCAAAACGTTGCAGACGCTTTTATTTTTAATCCTCACTGGAGGACAAGCTCAGGGCAAGGGAGAGGGAGACGTCAGTCGGTTGCCTTCCGCACGTGCCCTACTGGGGATTGAACCCGCAACCCAGGCACGTGCCCGCACCGGGCTCAAACCGGCCAGCTCGGGCACACAGCGCCCAGCCCCAGCCTCTGCGGCCGGCGGCGCGTGCGCCCAGGTCCCCTCCCTCCCTGCGTAACAGGCAGCGTGCTTTATACTCTTGAACTTTGCTCTCTCCATTTAGCAACATACCATGCGGGTCACTCCGTATGGAATCAGTGATATCATTTCTAAATTACAGCGGCGCCTCGGTTTTTCAACATCTCCGTTGATGAACAGCTTGGGTTACGAAGGCCGTAAACGCGGAGGTAGATGCTTCGGTTCTCGAACTCGCCTCGGGAGTCGGACATGCCACAGGGCTTCGGCTGGGGCGAGGTCCTGCGGCCCAGCTGTGGGCTGTGGATCCCTCTGTTGTCGAACGTTTCAGAACTCGATCGAGCTTCCGGAATGGATCACATTCCGTGTAACCTGTTAACGCCGAGGCACCATTGTATATGGAAGACGTTTCAGTCACTTACCAGTTGAATGACTGTGCGCCAGCCGCTGAGCTGGACATGGACAGGGAAATGAGTAAAACACAGCCCTCTCATGACCTTAGCCTCCAGTGCAAAGGACAGCCGCCAAACAGCACCGGCAGCCCCGAGCCCGAGGAGGGCTAACAGGATGCTCCGACCGCGCCAGGCTTGGAGGCGGACAAAGCAGGTGAAGGAACAGCACGCTAAGGCCTGTGGTGGAAATGGGCGTTTAATGCGGCTAAAACTTACAACGTGAGTGTGGAGGCACGAGGTAGGTGAGGGAGAGGGGTGCCCACAATGAGGCTGGGGAGGCGCCATGGCGCCAGGTGGTACAGGTAATCCCAGGAAAAGGTGGACTGTGTTAGGCATCCAGGACACGTTTTTGGTTTTTAAATATATATATCTTGCCCGGCCGGGCGTGGCTCAGCTGTTGAGCGTCGACCTAGGATCCAGGCGATCGTGGTTCGATTCCTGGTCAGGGCACACGCCCGGGTTGTGGGCTCAATCAATGACTCATCATTGATGTTTTTTTCTCTCTCTCTCTCTCTCCTTTCCTATATATATATCTTTATTGATTTCAGAGAGAGGAAGGGAGGGGGGAGAGAGAGAAACATCAATGATGAGAGTCACTGATCGGCTGCATCCTGCAGGACCCCTACTGGGGATCAAGCCTGAAACCCGGGCATGTGCCCTGACTGGGAATTGAACCAAGATCTCCTGGATCCTAGGTTGATGATCAACCGCTGAGCCACACCGGCTGGGAGAGACATGGTTTTTAAAATACCACTGGGATTCATTCACTTCATAAGTATTTAATTGGCTGCCTGCACTGGCCAGGTACTGTAAGAAAGAGCAGTTAAGAGTAAGATCCCAGGCTCGGCCAGGCGTGGCTCAGCGGTTGAGCATCCACCTAGGATCCAGGCGATCAGAGTTCGATTCCCAGTCAGGGCGCATGCCCGGGTTGCGGGCTCGATCAATGACTCTCTCATCATTGATGTTTCTATCTCTCTCTCCCTCTCCTCTCTCTGAAATCAATAAAGATATATTAAAAAAAAAAAAAAGAGTAAGATCCCAACCCTTGGGGAGCAAGAAGACAGAATTCAAGGAACTCTTAGGTAAAGTGGGGAAATTTGCTGGGGAATGACACAGGAAGCTAGGCGGCAGTGGGTGAAGGAATACTTCCCAAAGAGTGAGGCAGACTTTTACCCGGGTGTGTGCCAGTTTGGGGGAGAGGGTTGGGGAGAGTTCCCATGCTAATTAATGCCTGGAATGAAGAGACAGATATTAAAAGTTTCCCTGGGACTAAGACCACAGACCCATTTCCCATTCTCCACATAGCAATGAGTAACCCTTTATTTTACTTTTATTGATTTTTGTTGTTAATTCTCATCTGAGGATTTTTTTCCCATTTTTTTTTTTTTTTAAGAGAGTGGAGGGGGGGAGAGGAAGAGAAAGAGAAAACATCGATCAATTACCATGACTAATCCTTTGAAAATATAATTCTGATCTCTTCATTTTCTGTAAAAGGCTCCCCACTGCTTTGAGGATAACGTCTGCCTTTTTTAAAAAAATATTTTATTGGATTACTTTATATAATCCTTACAACAATCTTATAGTGACTTTTTTTTTTTTTTTTTTAATCCTCACCTGAAGATATTTTTTCCATTGCTTTTCAGAGTGGAAGGGAGAGAGAAACATCAATGTGAAAAGGACACGTCGATTGGTTGCCTCCCACACACGCCCCAACCAGGGCTGGGGATCAAGCCTGCAGAAGGATGGGCCCTTAGCCAGAATCGGACCCAGAACCCTTCAGTCCACAGAGCCAAACCAGCTACGGCTCTATTTTATTTTTTAAAATATATATTGATTTCAGAGAGGAAGGGAGAGGGAGAGAGAGAAACATCAATGCTGAGAGAGTCATTGATCGGCTGCTTCCTGCATGTCCCCGACTGGGGATCGAGCCTGCAACCCGGGCATGTGCCCTGACCGGGAATCGAACAGCTACCTCCTGGATCACAGGCTGAGGCTCAACTGCTGAACCACGCTGCACCAGGCAATGTCCATCTCTTAAAAATCTCGTCCCAGGTTGCTTACCTCTCCAGCTTTTAAAAAAAACTTCCTTCCTCTTTAATTTTATTCTCTTAGGGTGTCACATCCTATTCCCCCCACCTAGAAATCCCGTTTTGCTCAGTGGTTAGAGCGTCGGGTCCCAGGTTCTATTGTGGCCGTACCTCCGGTGACCCGGCCCAGCTCTGGGTACCAATCAATGTTCTCTCTCTCTCTGTCTCCCTGCCCTCCTTCCATTCTCTCTGAAAAGCAATGGAAAAAATATCCTCAGGTGAGGATTTAAAAAAAAAAAAGAAACCCAGTACCCAACTCTTGATTAGGTGTTACTCCTATCTGCTTTCACAGTGCCCTGTGCTTCACCTAATGTCGTGGGATTGTCTGAATCTACCACTAGTTTGAACTCCCCAAGGGTAGAAAGTGGTTTAATTACAGTTGTATAGAGCATCTAGCCTAACTAATTTGAACCGAATGAAGGCTGTCTTCACTGCAGAGTTAGGTGGGGCATTTTGGCCTTCAGTCTCTTTACTACTACAGTTTAAGGGTTCATTCCAGAGTTTGGAGAAACAAACCATTGAGGTTTAAAATCACTTAAGTTTAGCCTGGCCAGCGTGGCTCAGTGGTTGAGCCTCAACCTGTGAACCAGGAGGTCACAGTTAGACTGATCCCGGGTCAGGGCATATTCCCAGGTTTCAGGCTCAATCCCCAGTCGGGGGCATGCAGGAGGCAGCCCAGCAATGACCTCTCTCGTCATTGATGTTTCTATCTCCCTCTCAAATCAATAAAATCATTTTTTTAAATTGTTATTTAGCCTTAGGCATCGATTTATCTGCAAAGATCGGTGTGCTCAAACTGATAATGTTTAAGCCCACCAGTCTTTCATTCAATAAAGCTGATAAGGTCGAGAGTAGCTCCTCACTACCAGCCGCCAAAGAACAGCTGCTCCTCTAGTCCCTGGATTTCTTTGCACTTTGACCCCGCCCACGGGGCCACAAATGGCGGAAGAACTGCACGCTGCGTCCTGACACCTCACATACAGCGGAGGCATCTCCACGCTACGCCGGCGGCGTGGGCGGGGCAGCCGGTTCTTCCTTCCTGTGGGCCTCCTCGGCTCCTCCCCCAGCGCTTCACACGCTCATTGTGAAGCGACCGCGGCTGGCAGCCTCTGCGGCTGTTAGGGAACCAGACACCCTAAATCCTTGGCGCGCGTGAGCGCCCGCTCTGCGCCTTCCCCACTGCAAAGGCTAGGGAACGAGGTTCACCTTTATTCTCTCTTCTCCCGCCCGAGCTAACCGCCCCGTGCGCGCGGACGCCGCGCCGCCGCTCCCCG